AGTGTATAATGTATAGTGTATAGGAGGCCTATGCCTTTTCTGTACTGTTTTTGCCCATGAATAAGGTATTATTTTTGTATTCATAAATAAAAATATATAATTAATAAAGAAAGTAATTTCTTAAGATGATAGATCGATGAATGTATTAGAATTCCCACAGGGCCAGAATTGTCACACATCCTTATGTATATGCATTTTTTAACTTAAACTCTTCAACTATTCACAACAGCGTTCAACTTTTGGTGTGTATCTTACTGTTTTGAAGCCTTGCTTATGGCTCAGAATGAAAGAGGTAAAGTGCCTACCTTCCAAGTACTTTTAGAAAAGTATATGTCTCTTTAATCGCCTTCTTATTCTTCGAAGCCCATTCACCAGTTCCCTTTTTGACATGGGACCTCTGTCCACTGGCACTAGGCAAGTGGCTATCCGGTGAACCAAACATTGTGACTTAATGATGAACTTGGCCTGTTAGTACCTCTACCTGTCGATGCTTGGTTCAAGTTTTCCTTCCCTCTACTAGGCCTAGACTCTTAAATATTCACCAATGCAATTTATTATTGGTGTGATGCGTGTGAAGTAAGTCTTGGATTGTAAAACTTTCCAAATAATGGTCTGGTGATGTTGAAACAATAGTCTAGCAAGTCATAATCACAGACCTAAATGGGCTAGACCCAATTTGGATGATGATCAATGTTGACACGCTTCCTAGCAGCAGCAATGTATAGCAAAGATCTTATAAACACAAGATAGCGTTCTCCGGGATTTACGCGTGCAAATTCTGTAATAAGGCATGAATGGCGCCCTCTTGCTAAATTGGAAACTTTTGACCCTTGACCGCTCTGATCTGACCATACAGCTTGGGTATCAATCCTGTGACAGCAGAACAGGAACCATCTCAGATCCATGGCAACAGATAGGACGCCCTCTTCCAAAACTTATTACTTTTTCTCTTCGGTAATAGCGCATGAATGGCGCCCTCTTGCTAAATGGGAAACTTTTGAACCCTGACCGACGCTTCTATTTGTTACGCGTAAATCGCGGAGAACGCTATCTTGTGTTTATAAGATCTTTGATGTATAGTCAAATCAATATTGTCATTGTGGTAGAGGGCTCACTACAAGTACAAGACAACAACTGAGTACACTCATAGAGAAACTGTACAGTTACAGGACGTACTGATTGGTACAGAATCGATCAATCGTCTGCCAATCTCTGAATCGGAGCTGCAGGGGAATTCCCATTCTATTAAATCGCTCCCCCTCCCCTATAATTGTAAAAGAGGAGACTAAGTATGTAAAAAAATACATATGATCTCCAAATTTGTTTATATATTATTTATTGTATATTGTAATAAAACCAAGTCATAATTATTCACTTTTTTGAGTGATAATCTGTGTCCTCAAAATATATTACCCGGATGGTGTCCGTGGATTTAGGAAGAGTTCTTTACTTCTAAGTTAGTGTATTAGATACCGGTAGTCAACAGTTCTCCATCTAGGCATCTCTAAACCGCAGGGTCTGAACTTTTAGCTTTGGAAAGGTGTTTTATTTATTATTTTGTTCTTTATTACAATTGTTTTGCAGTTTTTTTTGCAACACAATTTCAGCAAAATCAGTTTCTAATGAATCAAGGATAATTCATTCAAAGATAAAGATTAGGCATAAATGTCTAAAACCTAACAGTAGACAATTAATGAACAGCAATATTGTGTATTTAACAATGAATAACCACCATCGGCGAGGCTTTTACAACCCGTTTTTATTATAAATCACACTTTGAATTAATTTGTAATATTATAATATAAATTCAGTATATCTAAATATAAATTTACAACAGTAATAATAGACTCACTAACACTTAAATTAACACTTATTCATAAATTACGTAATTATACCTATCCATTTACAGTGATTATTCTCCATTGCAGATTCGGCTACAGAATGTAAAAATATGGATTAGTACGTACTGTTGTTTTCATCATAATTTATTAGCTTTCAATTCTAAATAGTATTACACATTGAAAATATTTTCCTCGCCTATTAAGGGACGCATGATATTTACAATTCTTTTTTTTTTCTTTCTTGTACCCCTGACAATTTCATAGTAAAACATATCAAAATCGATCATAAAAACTGAATTGTTATGAATTCATTTGAAGTTAATACATCATTTGATCACTTCGAACGAGCAATTCATATTAAATTAAATTTGAAGAAAAAAAGGGTACTGAAAATGACTGTATATATGTGTGAATATAAACAAATGTAAGTAATAGCAACAATGCTCAATTTTAGGAATAGATGATGTTAAACGCTATAATGGAGCACTGTATCTATCGTTTTAATACCTATTGTTCATATCTATATATGTTCAGTGCTATAGCGCAGCATGCTATCATTCTACCGTCGATAATAAACAACGCATCATTCTTGGAAATGTTGCTTTTTTCAACAAAATTTAGACTCGTAGAAGAGGTATTTCCCTAAAGATTCTTATAATCTTTGAAGCCCACGTAGTTTCTGTCATGCTGTACCTCAAGCAGTGTATTAGATGATCTCATTGCCCACACACACAGACGACACCTCTTCGACATTTTAAATATCAATTGGTTTCTAATCTCACCCGGAACCTGTCTCTTATACACATCTAGATGTGTATAAGAGACAGATATGTAATATATGGTATTTATCATGATACAAAGTGAAATGACATTATCATTATATTATTATTTATGCAGTAGAAACTCCATTGTAGACTGGGTTATCAACAGACATATCCTCTGCAACTAACACGGCACCATTTGTTGACCTCTCATTGTAGCTGACTGACAATGTAGCTGGAGGTATGGTTTGACTCTTTCGACGCTTATAAAGCCAGAACGTGCAGACGACAGCAGAAATTGCTACGATGCCCAGCACAACTCCAACAACAATGATGACAACATTGTTCGAACTACTTTCACTGACTGAAAATGTTAAATCGTTTTGAGAATATCAATGTCTTTAGTGTTTAATATTATTAATATTAAATATGGTCAGAAACTTCGAAAATGTGGAACATACTATGAAAGCATCAGTTTTTCTAAAGTGAGATTTTAGAAATGTAAAATGCGGATGTAGCGTGATTATTACAGCGTTTACCTACCAATACCATGGTCCTGTGCTCATGATTTTTCAAATTCTATATTTTGTGAGGTATATCCCCATCCTGTATTAACCGACATTCATGATTAAAAGCATTGTTGGGTTCACATGCCAGACATCGAAGTGGAAAGTAAAATTCTACTTTACTTATACAATGTTTGTAAAATCAGATTAACAAAAATCAACTTTAAATATTGAAACAGCAATTTGAATTAATTTATTTCCTATAATAAGCTGGTTAATTTTTACTAACCTTGACAAATATCGGAAGATATTAATATATTATCGATAGCTAGTATTCCACGATCTTCTCTACCAATAACAGCCTCTATGACGATCTGAAAGCAATAGTGAGACATTCCTCTATTACCCAAAAGAGTGTACTGCGTTACCGTTAGTACACACATGGCCAATGGCTTGACATGGAATGGGAAATACGTACATTTCAGTCCTCTAACGGAAACAGAGGGGAGCGGATGGAATTGAATCAGTGACCAAGATTGTGTAGCTTCCATGGTTAAGGGCACACATATGTAGGCTTAAAGGAACCACTCCAGTTTAGCCGACTGTTGCTTAACTTTAGGATATTGCCTAACTACACAGTCACTAAAGACAGGTGTCTCTTATAAAATCCACAATATTGATGTCAACACTCACTGTGAATTCTGATGCCTTTGGGATTTCAACGAATGTGTTCTTCCAGTAGTAGGCTTCCGAACCGGTTATGTTTTGAAGATGTTGCATATTGTCACCTACTCTGCTGTATATGTTTATCTGGAGTGCTGGATCATAACGTAAGATGAAGTCCATAGACATACAGGCCTGCTGGTCACTTGAAATAGTTGGTGTTACTATCTGGGCCTTTTCACCACGTTCTCTGTCACCAGCGGCACTTACAAATAAGTAAGATGTATTTGCTGAAAGACAGAACCATTAAAACGTGTCAATACTTCATAAAAAATGGAGTGGTAGAATGTGTGTTCAAGTGGCTTTCTAATTGTCTTGTCGTCATAATTAATATTCCTGGTCATTATATAACATTTTATTGTTTTAATATAAATGTTATCAAATGAATTACTGTACTGATATTATTATTATTATTATTATTATTGTTATTATTATTATTATTATTATTATTATTATTATTATTATTATTATTATTATTATTATTATTATTATTATTATTATTATTATTGAACAATGAATATCTTTTGAACCATAAATATAATCCTAATTCGCTTACTTGGCAAATCTGTTATTCCGAAATGATTGTTGACATCAAAATACTCCCAGTCAAAATCATCATCTTCAATAATCTGCTGAATTCCACAAACATCTGGTCCGCTTTCAAAATCACACTTTTCCTGGCCGATTTGTTGTGGGGGTGTTGGCGAAATGGGTGTTGCGCCACAAGGAAAAGGCAGATTATCGGAAGATATTAATATATTATCGATAGCTAGTATTCCACGATCTTCTCTACCAATAACAGCCTCTATGACGATCTGAAAGCAATAGTGAGACATTCCTCTATTACCCAAAAGAGTGTACTGCGTTACCGTTATTACACACATGGCCAGTGGCTTGACATGGAATGGGAAATACGTACATTTCAGTCCTCTAACGGAAACAGAGTGGAGCGGATGGAATTGAATCAGTGACCAAGATTGTAGCCTCCATGGTTAGGGCACGCATATGTATGCTTAAAGGCCCACTCCAGTTTAGCCGACTGTTGCTTAACTTTAGGATATTGCTTAACTACACAGTCACTAAAGACAGTTGTCTCTTATAAAAACCACAATGTTGATGACACTCACCGTGAATTCTGATGTCTTTGGGATTTCAACGAATGTGTTCTGCCAGTAGTAGGCTTCCGAACCGGTTATGTTTTGAAGATGTTGAATATTGTCACCTACTCTGCTGTATATATTTATCTGGAGTGCTGGATCATAACGTAAGATGAAGTCCATAGACATACAGACCTGCTGGTCACTTGAAATAGTTGGTGTTACTATCTGGGCCTTTTCACCACGTTCTCTGTCACCAGCGGCACTTACAAATAAGTAAGATGTATTTGCTGAAAGACAGAACCATTAAAACGTGTCAATACTTCATCAAAAATGAAGTGGTAGAATGTGTTTAAGTGGCTTTCTAATTGTCCTGTCGTCATAATTGATATTCCTGGTCATTATATAGCATTTTATTGTTTTAATATAAATGTTATCAAATGAATTACTGTACTGATATTATTATTATTATTATTATTATTATTATTATTATTATTATTATTATTATTATTAATATTATTATTATTATTATTGAACAATAAATATCTTTTGAACCATAAATATAATCCTAATTCGCTTACTTGGCAAATCTGTTATTCCGAAATGATTTTTGACATCAAAATACTCCCAGTCAAAATCATCATCTTCAATAATCTGCTGAATTCCACAAACATCTGGTCCGCTTTCAAAATCACACTTTTCCTGGCCGATTTGTTGTGGGGTTGTTGGCGCAATGGTTGTTGCGCCACAAGGAACAGGCAGAAATCTGATATCATCTAATGCAATATCTCCTTGCTGTGAGCCAACGGTCCCTTCAAATATAATCTACAAAAGAATACAAAATACCATCGATCGATTATATATGGGTTATACTTCGACTATCTTTGCAAGACGCGTACCTTGTATATATATATGTATTATATATATATATATATATATATATATATATTATATATGTATGTATGTATGTGCGCATGTATGGGTGTATGTGTATATGTATGTATGTATATGTACGTACCTTAAAATGTGAGTACACCGCAGTAATATCAACGACAGCTTCAACCCATTTATTACCATGATCATGACCTCTCGACCACAACTCTGTCGACTTGAATCCCGATTCGAATTTGATCACTGTCAATGCACCTATGCCCTTTCCATACATGTGGTACCAGAACCGCAGACATGTGCTCTCCCCTGTACCGGCCATATTTGGGCTGCTGATAACTGCTCTATCATTTGGCCGATTTGGTTGCGATGATTCAATAAAAATATAATGACCTTCAAAAAGAAGATAGACATTGGTGTCATAACAGTACCATAAATTGCGTTATGAATGGTTATACAATTGGGAGTTTGCCAATAATTTATATAATTTACCATATTTATTTCCTTTAGTATGGTCATTCGTTGGACCTGTCCTTTTGCTTGGTGTTTCGCCCGTTTGCAATTTCCAATCGAATTGGTCATCATCTTTTTCCTGCGTATATCCACATACGTCAATACCAAATTCAAAGTCACAGAAGGAATTCGGTAGAGGCGGTGTTGGTGTTACTGAAATTTACGTGATAAACGAAATAAAAAAATTACATAAAAAATCTATAAAAAAAAAAAAAAATTAAAATATAAGGTGTCAAGAATTTATAGTTGCAAGAATCAAGGGTATGAACAGTTATTATTTACATTATTCAATTCAATAACCAATGCTATACTTCCGAAAGAAAAATGTACAAAATCAGTAATCGTGTATACGCCTATAATTTATGTATAGTAATTTTTTATATTTAAATGATTAAAATGATGGATAAACTAACTTACTTTGAGTGCAAGTCGAATGCAAGAATTGAATATCATCGAGAGCAATGTCACCAGTGAAACTTTTGCCTTGGATACCTTCAAACACAATCTGCACATAAACAGCAAAACACGCTTTCATTATTTGGAATTATGTTTTATATATACATGTGATAATATACTTTTAGAGTGCAGTTGGTTAATGGTTGTGCAAAGATATTCTTGTACCTAGTTCTTTCGAATTTTAAATTGTGTAAGAAATCAATGTATCATATAATAAGGTAAAGAGTATTATATTAAATCCGGTTTCTGTAAGCATAAGAAAACGGGATAACGCTATGTTTAAGATTGTTTTAATTACTGCACTACTGCGGCTTATTTTCTCACTTTTACAAGATTATTTTTCTGGTATAGCCTACTTGATTTCCTTTAAATGACCAACCATCAAGCTATAAGTATCCAACAATTGAAAGCAAATAAAACTACAATAATTACATAGAAATTATCTTCAACAGGTTTGACTTCCATTTGTTGATGGAACCAAATATCTCCATGGTCACCATACACAGCAAGCAACGGGTCTACCGGTAATATGTATTTCTCCTGTCGAAGCACAACGTAGACATTCAGAAAGTCTACTGTTTCTCCAAACATGTGACACCAAAATTGTACGCAGATTGGGTTGGCTGATTTGGTAATTAGTGGAGAATATAAACGAGCCTTTTCATCAAACTGTTGTACAGATGTCTCAATGAAAATATAATGTCCTAAAAGAAGAAAAAAAATAATAATAAATAATTGCACAATCTACGTAAAAAAAACAACACATTGCATAATTTGCCGCTTGAGAGAACACTTACGATAGTGGGCTACTCAACAAAACCCTATTAATTTAAGAAATATTTACAAAAACAATTATTACCAGTTGAATTTTGGTAAGTGTGATCGATCTCTGGGCCTGTACCAATCGAAGTTGTACTTCCACTCTGTCGGGTCCAGTCAAAATCATCATATATGTCTTGGGTATAGTCGCACCAACCACTTTGTTCAAAATCACAATTAGCATCAGGAAATGTATCAGGTGGTGCAGTTGAAGGCAAAGGGGTTGTTGTAACTTAAAAACAAATAAAAGAAATGTTATTAGTCTACTATATGACATGCAAAATGAAGTTTTGACCGTACTATTAGACTAACAGACTTATAGTAAACGTCTACTGGCATGCCAAATAAAGTTGCTAGTCTATAAAATGTTATCTCAAAAAGAATGCCTACTGGAGTCCTGCCAACAAGGCGTCTAAGTGCTTCGCATTATTACCCACATTCGTTGGACAAATCTCCCATGGAGAACATGATTAACACTCTGGATAAAGTACCTACTTTCAGTATACTGAGCCCTTATTTTCCGCGGTCATACATTTTCGCAATTCCGATGTGGGAGAGAGATAACCATGTGAAGTACATTACCTAAGTACCTTACCCTAATCGAAATGCATAGAGATGGTTTCGAACTCCCTACTAAGAGCCCAAATTGCAACTGCTGAACCAACAGATTGAAGTTCATTGTGTTAGAATTCCACTATGGACGGAATGCCGTAAATGGTTAAATTCATAGGAAATTGACAAAATAATATCTAATAGTGGGTGGCCTTCATAAAATACATTTCCCCCTGGATTAATAAACCAAAGTATAAACATATATCTTTACATTAGAAAGTATGTTTGACCTTACATGCTGGACAGGTTTGTTCATAAATTTTCACATCGTCTATTGCAACATCACCAAACCTAGATGAACCTGCTATGCCTTCAAACACAATCTAAATATGAAAGATACAATGTTAATAAATGAATAGACTATATACTTATTGTTACTTTTAACAATGTACCAATTAAGGACAAGTATTTCGGAAAACACCAAAGACCTGATCAAAAACACACAGCAAATATGGTAATAACGTAATGATGGGTATAAATTATTGTCACAATAAAACATTTTTTTACCGAAAACCGTCCCGTTGGCTGTACGTCAGCTGTTCCCCTATGCCAGTAATCTCCTCGATTACCTGATAATGTCCACACTGGGGTTGTTAGTGTCTCTCCATCAATTTTTATAAACACCTTCAATTCTTCGACTGTTGGCCCATACATATGGTACCAGAACTCCACGCAGTAACTTGGGGATGTATTGTTTTGAAACGGGGATTGTAGTCGTGCTTTGTCTCCTGGTTGACTTGGTAACGAAGTTTCAATAAACATATAAAAACCTAAAACAAAAAATAATTATAAATAATAATTGTTTAATTTTATCCAATCTCATTTAGCAACACAAACAAATAGTTTAATTTTTCATATATTTATTCGATTCAGTATTGTTTGTAAATTGTTATGCACTTGTATAGATTTGCAATGTATTTTTAAAAATTTTCTTTGTTAATTTGTATAATGAAATTTAGAATATATGCATTCCTAACTGTAGAGTCAAATGTTGAAGGAGTTTCGTAGGTTAGGCCTACGATTCAAGTGTCGTTCATCGATAACAACAATTCAATATCGTAATGTTAAGCCGAGCAAACACTGCCTCGATTCGAATCTACCTCAACGACTGTCTGCTGATTACTGGTGGCAATCTGAAAGGATCGCCTTTTAAAATGATCCGTCGCGCGCATTCGTCGCTTGTGTGTGCCCAGCGCTCAACTCTTACCAAGACCAGTCCCAAGTGTATGGTCAGATGTCGGACCGGTGCCTCTGGTTTCAGTAGCAAAGTTTTGCCATATCCAATCAATATCATCAGCTGTATCCTGGATGTATCCACATATTTCAGGTTCCTCAAAGGTACAGCTTATTCCTATATCGGAATTTGTATCTGCAAAAAGGAAGCATATGTGAAAAAGCCAATAAGCCACATTCTTCCCTGTTTATAATGAGACTTTTATTCAAGTTATCTGTTTATAACCAGGAGAATTATTTAAATGAACTTCTGCTTTAGCTTGAATGTCAATGAATGGAATAATTTTATGCTGTGTTAAGATATTTTTTCACAGTTAATAGAGTAATCAACTCGTAGAATTCTGTATATCTGGAAATATATGTAAACCTGATATTTTTGTTTAGTCTCCCACTTCCAAATCGCCATGTTTAATTAATATGATTGGCTCACCATTCGATATACACGCGGAGTCTGTAATGTTGATATCATCAATTGCTATATCTCCTTGAAAGCTCTGTCCGCAAACCCCTTCAAACACAACCTTTTATTTAAAAAAAAATACAAATTAAGATTAACTATCAGTATAGGCCTATAGCTCAATATAAATTAAGGTAATATCCCTAATTAATTATATTAATTATAGGTATCACTTCTCAAAATGAGTTCATTCAAAACTATATTTTATATTTGGTAAAAAAATGTTGTGTGTCTTAACGCAATTGACAAACCAGAAATTCGAAAACTTTAAAATGACGCTTCAGAAGATTTGTAGTGGATTTACAACTTACAACTTATTGGGTGTGGGTCTATTCAGCCTCTTGAGACTTAGTTATTTAATAAGCCATACTGTCCAGTATGGTATCAGCATCCTTATTCAGCCAATGTTGATTCATGATTTATACCCATGATCACCATTTTACCAGCTAAAATTTATTGAGGTAAGATATAATTGGGCTATATAACCATGAACCATAGTATTAAGGCTCTAGGCTCATATTAAAAGGAAATAAATAACTGACCAACCCTTATTTTTTTATTGGTTAATATTTTTTAAATACAGGTATTTACTTATTGTATCATACAATATCATATATTTTGTTATGGAGATGCATAGAAATAACATAACCTCGTATCATTATGTTTTAATCATAAAGTCTGTTACCCCTTATACCAAATAGTGATACTGTATCAATGTGGAGATATAAAAGATCTGATATGTGGAGGAAAAGAGAATGTAGAACCTGGTTATGTTCTTCAGGTATTGATTAATAATTTATAATTATGAATAAATGCATTCGTTACCTTGAAATCAGCTGCATTCATATCAATTGTGACTTCAGCAGGTCGCCACACATTTCCTCGGTTACCTGACTTTGACCACACCTGTTGAGAAATTAGTCCATCTGTTGTATTGGCCAGCACATTGAGTGTTTCGATATGCGCTCCATACATATGATACCAAAAGGTTAGACACGCAGATGATGGGGTGCGAATTCTTGGTGTAGATACCTTTGCGACATCATTAGGCAACCTAGGTGAGCTGGTTTCGATGTATATGTAGTATCCTACAAATTGAGAATAGGCAAAAGTTATAATTCCTTTACGTTCACGTAGGTATAGGGCCTACACATAATAAAATATATAGTTTTGTGAAAATATATTTCACAAATCGATTATATTTGGATCTACTCAATTATTACACAATTTAATGAATTTCCACTTCTTTTTCTTTTTGTTTCAAACTTCACTATGGAAAAAACATACTTTGTAAAAAAAAGGCTTTAATTTCAACAAAAGTATTATACATGTATATATATATAAAAATACAGAGCAGCTTAGCTCAGTCGGCTAGAGTGTGTTTGCGCTTCACCGTAGTCTCCGGTTCAGTTCCATCCGCTGCTCACCTTTTGTTTCAGTTAAATATGGCACTCTTGCAGCAAAGTGTTCATGACTAGATAACAACCAATGCATCATTCGATTAACAAACAACAAAGTTTCAATATAAAAAGAATTCCGCCGGCTCTTTTCCATCAGACTTTCCCACCCGGCCTAAACTATTATACAGTAGCAAGCTGTATACACATAAACAGAACAAAATACAGTGCTGTACGGTATTCCTTTATGGCTATGTGATCTAATAATTACCTGCACTGGTTCCAGTGGTATGGTCAGTTGTGGGTCCCGTATTTGACGACCCTGTACGTCCCGATTGTCGTTCCCAATTAAAGTCTCACAAAATAAGGTGATTTAGGTGATTTACTTGATCGTAATATTTTTTAGGGGCTACTGGGGTGCGGGTGGGGGGGGGGTAACTTTTGGAGGGGCGTGCGCCGCCCACTAGATACACTACTGATACTATGGATTTTCCATCCAGGAAATTGAAATTGAAAATGACTTGGTTATTGTGTAGAATTATAGAAAAATTCATGCTTCTAGTGCTACCCGGTTGAGTTAAGCTAGTAAAGTACTACACCAACCATGCGGCTACCCTGGTTAGTCCATGCACTCCTATTGATTGCACTGTTATTAATGAATTTATTTTTCAACATAAACGTAACATACCGATGTAACAATTTTCGTTCATTAACTTGACATCGTCTATTGCAATATCTGAATATCTTCCATTGCCTCGTACGCCTTCAAAAGTTATCTATAAAAATATAATTATTTTATTTTACTTAGATTCAAGCGAAGTCTGTTATTGTACCGTAAATAAACAGTTCTTAATTCGATACATAATTATTTCAACCTTGGATGTCGTAGAGATAAGTCTAAAAAATAAATCGTTAGTGATAATAAAGATAAAATTACCTGGAAATTTTGAGACATACTCGGTATGTGTACCAAACCACGATACCACTTATTTCCTTTTTCACCAGTTTTACTCCACACAACTTGGTTTGCTTGCTGAGTTCGATTCATGACCACATTAAGCGTACCCATAGTGCGACCGTACATGTGGTAGTAAAATTCGAGACAAGTATCAGATGGCAGTCCACTTAACACTGGTGATCTGAGTCTTGCTTGCCAACCCTTCTTGATGCCCGACTGTGATACCTCAATGTACATGTAATATCCTAAGGTAAGAAATTATTTGAAAATCTGGTCTGCCTGTCATAGTAAAATATCTACTCAAATTATTGTCCCCTCAACACCATATTAATGTAGCTAGATGAAAGTTCTAGTGCTTTATTCATATTCATTAATTGATAATATAAAAAAGATGTTTAAAAACTATAAACAATTCAGTGATGTGTATAATGATGATAATAATTTTGGTAATAATAACAATAACAATAATAGTAATAATTTAATTTTACATCATTCTCTAAAATAAATATTTAAGATAAAATACATATTATGTAGGTCTATAGAATTCTGAATTACATACTGTATTTATGTTATATATTATATCCTCGCTTATGTGACGTCAGAGTTACAGTACATACCATTTCCGTTATTTTGGGTATGATCAGCGGAAGGACCAGTTTCTGATGTCCCAGAACTTAGCCTGTGTCGCGTCCAATCAAATCTATCGTCTGTATCCTGTGTATATTGACATGTATTGAGATCAAAATCACAATCTACCGAATTGTTACTAAGAATTGCGTAATCGGTTGATGCTGAAAGAGTAATCGAAAAAATAAAGTGAGACAGGTGGATCCAATCTCCCAGGTACCACCTTAACCATTGTCCCAAATTTCAAGCCACTTTCAATACGGAATCCTACTACATAAAAAAATATTAATATTTTTCTCAGTCGCCTTTAAGTTAAGATGACTTAACAAGAAGCACATTTCTCACGTTTTACAGAATAATAGCATGAACACACAGTTTATGTTGTTCTTCGATCTTCTGTAGCTAGCACCCCTTAGTTTTCCATCCCTTTCGTTCCCACCCAATCCCGCATTGCCAATACTCAAAATACGCCATTTAACCCATGATGACCGTGGCTTACGACCGTTTTGTTACTTTCGTGGCTTACAATTGCGGTTTATAATAATTATAATTCTTCTTATCTCCTATGATTGTATAATTGTGGTTTTAAGCTAAATCGATGTTATAAAATCTAACCGATATATTTGCGGTATTAGTGTTGATATTGTACTTGTGAGCATGATGTTAAATAGGTTAAAACAGATAACGAAAACGGGGTGTACAGGACTATTTTATTGACCTGAATTAGACTTTGGTTAGTATCCAGACAAAATAATTGACTACAGTTTTCATGTTGAATGGGTACCGGACGTTACCAGTCACACTCGAACGGAGTGTTTACTTTGATATTGATCTCTGTAATATGAAAGACAACACTAATAAAAATCAAGTTAATATGTATAGTGTATTGTTTGTGAACATAAAGGTTCATTCAGAATTAATTTACAATCGCTGAATTTGATATAAGCATAATAAATACTTTATATCAGCTACAGGGTTACGGTATCTAACTTTAGAATATTGTTGAATTTATACCCAGTCGATCTGAACTGCGTTAGTGATGTCGCATTTGTAACATTTTTTGTGAGACAAAAGAAACTTTTTGTTGAGCGCTATGTTTGATATGATTATAGCATCATATGTTTATATACCTCATAACTCATATTCTTTATTGAAAATTATTTACAATAAATGAT